AATCATGCATCCCATGCATAGAATTTATGCAGTTGTGTAAAACTGTAGGCTATAGAACTTACAGTTGTTGTTACACACACTGTCTTTTTGTTTTAATTGTGTATGTAAAATACATGCATTAAACACTGTATTCATTTTACTTACATGGCACTCAGGTACACAGATAACTGGCAGAAATGTACCAAGTATCTGTGAAACACAGTTTCTGAAAATGTCATAGAGAGGATAACTTTGAATACAAACAGCAAAGAAAAAAACAAGACTTTTATACACATAAAGTTTCAACCTGGTATCTTAGTTCTTTGTACATCATTACTGGCTGCCAGGATAAACAGCAGGATCAAAATACATCTATACCAGATGAAAGAGATACAGAATCTTAATTAGATACCTCACTTTTAATTCAGACGAAGGTCATAGTGCAGTATGTCACAATCTATAGAGTATCTACTTAACAATCCAATGGAATGTATATGAGCCAACCCCAGGTAGGCATGACAAAAGTAAGACTAAGCAAATATTAGTACGGTGGAATGAGCATTGTTGTATGTGACCTATAAGGTAGAGGATTAGTGCAAGTTTAAGGCCTTCACACATCTGGTTTACAAGATTTTTTGCAACTGTGAGCAGAACACATGCATGAGAATTTAGAAAAATTACCTACACATACATATATATAAATAGATAGATATATTCTATACTAAGTCATGAATGGTGAAATTAGCAGTGAATTTTCCAAGTATGTAATAATTTGAAATATAAATAGCAACATTATACTACAGGAATTTGTAATAGTATTAGAACTTGTAAGTGCATGTTCAAAACTTAAAACCTATTTCACAATGGTTTGCTAATGCTCTGACATTGTCTTTAAAAATTAATTGATTTCTATTCTTAATATTTGTGTTAAAAAAGCAGTTGGACTGTGGAGCTACATGCTATTGAGCCTTATATATCTAAAATATAATAGTCCCCAGTGGTGCAGTAGTAAGTCTGAAGGCTTATAACACTAAAAACTTGGTTTTAATAACAATGGTGGGCACAGCACAGATAGTCCATTGTGTAGCTTTGTGCTAAACAAACAAACTAAAATATAAAATTTTAATATAGCATCTCCTCAACTATATATATTTCTGTAATATTTAGTCGTATATTTTTGTTTTTATATAATAAAAGTAGAAATGTTTTAGTTGTAAATATAAAATAATTGATTTAGAAAGCCATGTTATTATTTCTACCTTCACTAAAGTTCAAAGAATAAAATGTTGAAAAAAATCAGCATTAAAATTTCTATGTGCTAGAGTATAACATGGTACAGATGTTTTTTTCCTTGTAGATTTCTAAGTAAAGGTTTGTGAAAATAAAGTTCAGATCATTCTTGTGTCAGCCACCTGTCACTACCCATGAAGCCTTTTGTTCAGTCTCAGATCACATCAACTGAACTGGACAATTAAGGCACTAGAATATTCAATTTGAATAACACTATACAGCATGTGGGTGAAATAACCAGGTTATTAAAGTTCAAACTTAGCCACTCCTTATTAAGAACTGCTAACCAGTGAGAGAGCACTCAGTCAGCAACACTTGCTTCCTAAAGTGTATCTATTATTAACTTAATAGTAAGACTGAATGTCACAAATTATAACTCTTACACAGCTTGAAGTGCAGAACATGTTCAGTGCATATTGCATTTCAAACCTTGGTCTTTCAGATCTCCAACCAGGCAAGCTAACCACTAGAGTATGTACAACCATGGACAAAGAAAGACAGTAGTCTGTTTATATTCACAATACAAGAGTTTTATCTGTGTATGACAGGAAAGACAGGTTTGTAATGAAAACCAGACAACAAAATAATGACTAAATGATTTAGAAAGACATACATGGGTCAACACTTATAAATAATTTGTTTATTTAGAAAAATTAGATAACTAATATTCACTGTTTTCATCATTATATAATTCTTAAATTCTTGAAGACATCCCATTTTGCTTGGCTGAGAAGAAAGTTCTTGTTTTAAATCAGCAAGATTCAGTAATATTAAGTCATTTATTATCATTGTTGTTGAGTATTGTTTTTAAAATACTGTTTTATTAAAATTTTATTTCAAGAGATATAATTGTTGAAGTGTGTTAATGAGGAAATTACTTGTTGGAAAAAGTGCATAACCTGTATTTGTAGCAGTGACAATTAATTTTGAAAAATACCTTCACTATAAAGTTCTAGTTCTGCAATGAATTAAGTAAGAAGATATATTCTTGGGCAACATGTTGGTTATATATTTTGATAGAAGGAGAAACTGGTGAAGGAACACACACATGCAGTTACATCAGTCACATACATCCTTTATGTAAATGTATAAATTTAAGTCAAACAGTTTCAAGTCTTTAAAAGTTTTGTATAAACTAAGCTGGTTGATATAGCATAGCTGCCTTAAAGATGTTATTCTTAAAACCAACTTGCAGTCAAAAAATGCCCTGAGAAATCATATTTCAAGAGCAAAGTTTACCCTATATCATGCTGAAGAAGAAAAGACCAGTTTTCCTTTTGTTTACTTAAATATGTCTTACTGTGGGTATTTAGTTCAAAAGGGCCATGATCATATTTTTTTTGATTGCATCAACTTAAAAAAGATATGTTTTGTAATTTGAGATGTGGAACGAAAACATTAAACAAGTTTCAGTGTTGAATTGCAGATATATGGTTTCGATGTAAATTCTTGTATGGTATCATTGCAAATGGTCTGAGAAAAAAGTGCTTACTTAAGTAACTTGAGAAATTGTGAATATGTAGTTTTGGTTTTCTTGTCATACTTTGTCATTAAATGATATTATAAAACAAAAATATATGATAATTAGGTTGGCTGAGTATATTAGCAGTTTATTGGATGTGAAAACTTTTTTATTTATTTTCTTACATGTGTGTTTTTTCTAGTATTGATCCATTTTATTGCATGGTCTTCTTTTCTGTCATGAAAAGCTGTTGCAGGTAGATCAACTTCACATGTCTGTTGTGCACCTGAATTCTGAATTTTGTTGGTTTTCTTGTTTTCACCAGGAAGTGTATAGAATTAAAACATGGGTTGATAAGAGGATCTGTCCTTTTATAGTCAGAAAATTCTATGTTAAAGTTTCTCAAATTAATGTCATAGTAATTGTTTATGCACATGGAATGTGGAAAGCACAGTTATTGTTCTGGTTTTGGTTTTTTTTTCAGGCTTCCCATAACATATTGTATTTAACTGAGAACTTCATATGTATATGTGTTTCAGTATTACAGGTCTAACTAGCTATCCTTGAATTAAAGAACTGCTTGTTTTCAATCTCCTACTCTTATCCTCTATATCTATGTTATGTAAATAAATACGGCTGTAACTAACTCATATTGTTTATCATTTATCAAAAACCAAAGGAAAAATTGTGTTAATGTTTACTTTTGTCTTCCTAGATTCACTTCTTGTGTTTGGTTGAGTAAGCAACTTGTATTTATAATGTTAAGTATAACATAATGTTTAAGCAGAAAATTTTTGTATTAATTTTGAAGTGCATTCTTGATATGTATATTCATACTTATTACACATGATCAACTTTCTTATTAGTCTGTAATTTAAGTATTAGTGAATATTAATTCAATTTATTATTTTATCAGTAGATTATGTTAATAATTTGATTATACTCTAACAATAAATGCTTCACATTTGTTTTTATTGTGTTTCTTTTTTAGTTGTTAGGTTATACTTGATTTTCCTGTAATGGCCAAGTGTGTTAGAACAAAGTTTAGTCCCTTACATAATACAGTCTCTTCTGGTTCCATTAGTGGTCTTTCATTTAAGTTTATTACTGTGCATTTACGTGTTTGTAGTATTAGGAGGCTTCCTGCTTTGAGAATAGATCACAATTTAATTTCTTAGTGCAGGTATGAATTTTGTTCAGTTGCACACATTTTGAGAGAGAGAGTGGTGTATGTTATATATTTTTAGGTATATGCTGTTTTGTGTAATTTCTTATGTTTGTTTTTGTGAAAATATTTTTTATCATATCTAGTAGCAATGCAGTTTTATCTCATTTCGATTTTGACAAAGGGAGGTAATGAAAGATATTATGACCTTAATCCTATGTATTGTATGCATTTATGGAAGAAGAGAAATGGTTATCTGTTTTAGTTAACTTACAGTTTAGTCAATTTGAATCCTTTAAAACTCTAGGCTGTACTGACTCATGAAGTCCTTATGATAAGGTCATATCAGTTTTTTAGTAGTCTGTACAATCATGTAAGTCTAGTTACTAAATAATTACTGACTTTATTCATTTGTTTAATCACTAAGTGCTTATTAATTTTTCCCTCACATTTTGGCTGCTAATCTGCTGCCATCTTCAGGTGTGTTCTGAAAAGTACTATATATATGATGGCAGAAGCTTAAATTCAAACCTGAGCCTTGTTAGAAAGACAGGTTCTTTGTTTAGGACTATTCAGCTAATTAAGGTTTTTTCTAGAGGTGTTTCAAGATTTTGATTACTTTTGTGCTAAGTTACTCAAGTATGTCATTAGTTAGTTGAATGTAGAAGCCTTTTTTTATCTTTCATTTCCTCGTGTGTGTTGTTTATATCCCACTTTTTTCATTTATTATTCCATTTTATTATCTTAATAACTAGTAAAAGTAAAAATTGATGGAATGTACTAAATGATTAGTAATTAAGATTTAAATGTAGGTGATCATGTAACCATGACAACAAAGTAGGTTTTTGTTTAGTTGCTTCATTGTTATCAAATATTAGCGCAAACCATATTTTGATAAAATAATATGTAGTCTTTTTTAAATAATAACAAACTAATCTTATAGTTTAATATATAAAAAACCATTTTAATGTAAAAATATTGGAAGACTTGTTCTTGAAGTTTTGTTTATTTTTTCATGTTTTAGCATTTTTTACTTTACAAATTTAATATATAATCCAAGCTTGTACATGAATTCCTAATGAATGAAGTGATGAATTATTATAGGCTACAGGGATTGGTTGTGTTGATGCTCTACAGGAATATGAAAAGATGCTTCGTAAACTTCCAACTAAAGTTGAATTCAGAAGCCATTCAGCTTTTGTGAAGTCGTTTTTGGAAAAATATCCTTTGTTTTTTTTATTCTCTTAAGATAAATGCATAAGCTATAGACCATGTTAATATTCAACAATATTGAACAAAACTTTGAAATAGAATGTATAATATCGGGGGAAAAAATTCCAGATTAGCATATTTGATATTTTATTCATGATATCAGAAAAACATGTAAGTTGACGAAAATATAAAACCCTATAACCAGCACTTTCTTTATTAGGAACAAACTGTTGATACTGATTTATTACGATAAAATTTTTTTTTCAGTTTTATATATTTGAGAAATGATTCAAAATCTTTAAACCTCAACTAACTTGAGAGTAGTCTGTTTGTCATGATATACAACTGATAATGGGCAGTGAAAAGTGTAAAGAATGGCAGTAATTATAAAACCTAGTTTAATACATCTATTTTTTTAACGAATTATATTTTTAGTATGCCTAATACTATCGTTTTATGAGAAATATAATTGATTATAATCATGTTTCATCTTCAAAAAGCATTCACACCCTAACTTGTATTCTATTTGAGTGTTTTATTATTCATTTTTATCATAAAAAAGATTTAGTATTTTTAACTTAGTATGGGGATTTAGGACTAAATCTCTTAAGCTGGTTGATTATTGTGAGATATTATTGGGATTATGACTGAAAATATTGTTGACAACCAGGGTACCCAAATGATGAAACAGTGCATTCTAGTTTTTATAAGTAGGAATGTAAGAACAGTATATTAAATTGTATCTATGCTCAATACAGGTTGTTTATTATTTATGATCTATATACATAGCTGACTGTAATTGTTTAAAATATTTATTTATTATGTGGTTTAAATCAGAGGAAGTGCAATTTGAATTGTCAGTTTAGTTAGCAAAGTACAGTTTGAAACCACAAATGACAAAGGTGTTGTTTGAAATCATGATATAGATTAGAAGGATTACAATTTTGAATAATTACTAGACCAGAAGGAGTAATATTACAAATGTTAATTTAGACCAGGGAATGTGTTCTCAATTTCTGATCTATCCAGTGAAGTTAAATTATATTATTCTAGGCTTAAATCATCTTACAAATGAAAGATTACAATGTATGAATTTTACCTGTTACAAATTGGTAGTTTAATCATAATTCATGAATTTCTTTTGTTAATGTTTATAGAAGTACTGTGATTTTGCATAAAAAATAATGGTTTTATTCAATAATTAGTAATTATATTGTTGTTTCAGTGATATTATATTTATCATGCTTGCACTGTGTTAGTTAGCCGATTCATATTTGGCAATTACCTTAACTATATTTAGATGGGTATTCTATGAGATTTGGGAGATCTAATGAGCCTTCAGACTTCCTCCAACCCAACTAGTCATTGATTTTTTTTTAACCTGTATCAAACGTTTCCATTTTGCTAGTTTAGTTTTAGAATGCTTACATTTTTGAAATATGATTCATTTCAGTAATTGCTGATTAACTGTAATCAGAGATAACTCATGACCTTTGACCTGTTTGTGCTTTCTTCAAATGTTTTATCACCTTATTTTCTGTAAAATTGTTTTTTGTTTTTTTTCTAAAGGAACAGAAAATTAAATTGTAAAGGAAAGAAAATAAACTAAACTTATGGAATAAGATATTGGTACAGAGACTTGGAAACTTGTTTCAGCACTTTCATATGAGGACACATGATAATGTTGAAACCAGTTTATTAGTTTTTGTGCTAATATTTTATTCCAAATGTGCTGTTTAATTTTTCATTAATTTAGCTAAAATACACAGTATTGTGTAGTTAACACTATTATATAGGATTTTGGGGAGTGGGATTGATTGACATTTTGTATTATGTTTTGTGAATAAAGATGTGTATTTTTATTCTGTGTATTTAACTACAAGCTTGGGTGTTGTTTAGTTATCAAGCTCTTGTTTTTGTTACATTCTATATTAATAAAATAACTTTTTTTTCCTTAAAGTTTGTTTTGATGAGAATTAAATTAATTGTATTATTTTACTGCTTTCTAGGATTGTTGAAATCTAGTATTATTTTGATTTTGATGTGCTGCTGGTTTTCTGCTACTATCTTGTAAGATAAATGATTTGGTTTATTTATGACCTAGTTCCTTAATAACTTCATGGTGTAAGCTACATTTATACTGCATGCTTTTGTATTTTGCCTTCAGAGATAAATTGCTACAGAAGTTTAATGGCTAAGGTTTTGTTGAGGCAGCTTGAAAGATTTTGATACTTTTTTGTTGTTTGTAAAACTGGTGTAATATGTATACGCTCAAATTATTGTTCATTAATTTCTTACAAATTTTCAACTATGTTCTTAGATTACATTATATTTATTTTAATTTTTACTGGAATTTGTTAAGTTTCATTCAGTATGTCATTAACATTGTCAACATTATATTCTTCAATAACTTTGAAATATGTGTATTAACAAAGATGTTTTCAAACACAAATATTTTTTCCTATGTTAGGTGCTCAAAGATGAAACCTTGATTCTGTAACACAGCTAAGCATATTTTCCTCAGTTTTTCATTGTCTTGAATGGTGAGAAGTTATGTTAATATTAAGACAATTCCAAGACTTCTCTCCATGAAAGAAATAGATGAATTCACCTATTTCTTTCATAGAAAAAAGGTCTAGATTTCCTGTAATATTAAAATACTTCTGTGTAAAGAAAGCTTGAAAGCTGTTTATTGTGAAATTACATCTAAGAGATACAATATAACTTAGAGGATGCAAAGAAAATTTTTCTAGAATTTTTTATAGTACATTTTCATAATGAGTTAATTAGAAAACTGATGAGAAGTTAAACTAGAAACAGTTCTGTTTATGTAAGCAGGAAACTTACAACAGGTTTAACTAGAAACCATAATTTAAATTAAATATGTATTCAGCAAGATGGTTATTGAAACTTTTTCTGTTGGTTTATAATTGGTTCAGAATAACAACAGTGTTAATCAGGGAAGTGCAGAACAAGGCTAAATGTTTCTCAGCCACAGGATGGATATCAGCAAGTTGAATATTCACATAGTTTTGAAAAAACACACTTCATTGCTTCCAAGTTTTCATAATTTTTCTATTGCCAAATTTAAATAAGTTTGTGAAAGATAATATTTACAGTAAATATATTCAGTAAATTTTTATTTTATTTTAGACTTTTCATTAACATTTTAATCATTAATTAGTTATAATTATACTTAGTGCTAATTTTAAAAGTTGGGAAACCAGAAAAGTGCTGAGATGATTAGCAGCCAGGAAAAATGTTAAATGGTTACTAGTAAAAATTGTTAAAGGTCAGAATAACTAGTCATTTCAGACACATTTGTAGTCATTATCTTTGCTCATAGAATTATGGTTTTTGAACATAGATCTTTTATTTCCCATTTACACTATGATAAACTGTAGAGCCTGAATAAGACAGTATATTTCTACTTTGTTTTCCCTTTTGTCATTTGCATGAATAATTCTAAGTGTTAGAGGGAGAATTAACTTTTAGATCTGGGTGTTGTACATTAAATCACTCTATGATTTATCGTTTTTGCTCAAAATTTAATGTGCTAATAAGTTAATACGTTCAAGTTTAGGTAAGAATGTACTTTTTTTTCTGTAAACAATGAAAAGCAATATTGCATGTGTAGAAAAAAAAAATCTCTCCAGTTAAAGTACTATTTCGTCTTATTTGTATAAAAATAGTTGATAATAAATATTAATTACTTAAAGGTAAACATTTGTGAGTAAAGTGTATAATGTTTTATTAATATGCAACTTAAAAAGTTACCAAAGAATAAGACTCCTTGAAATCTGTATCAGGTACTGTGTATCTGAGCAAACAGTGCTAGCTTGCCATTACTTTATTAGTTTTACAAATGTTATTACTGTATTTTCATTTAACAGTTATGAAAAATAAATGATTGAATACTTAATGGCTTATTCGTATTTCATATTTGTAGTTAAATTACATTCAATGTTACTTGTTTCGGTTATAAACTGGGGTTACACTTAACACCAAAATAAAGATCATTCATTGTTGAAGGCCTGTTATTATCATATGCAAATTTTATACATTGCAATACTTAATTGTATATGCTCAGTACTTACCAACCTAACTAAACTTACCTGATGTTTTGTCACAGAATGGTTGTTGTGGTATTTTGTTTTAAAACCAGGGGTGGTCAGAAATTTGGATTTCTCTTAACCCACTCATGATTGATCAATTTTCTGCTCGGTGTTGGGCTTAATAAAAGTATTTTTTGAGGTGCCTGGAAATGAATGATTCTTTCTGGCTTGCCATCTCAAGCAGTATGGAAAAACCATGGAGGGTTAACCGGAAAAGTTCTTGTGGCTGGACCACATGATGGGATATCATAAATAGGTAGGAACAAAGCCTGTAGTAAGAAAATAACTAATAGAGAAGGAAAAAATCACATGAGAAACAAGACACAGATGATTATATTCTCCAGAAATGATACTTTCAGTACTTTTGGATAGATGGCAAAACTCTAAATATCAATTGGTGAATTTGTTTATAGGAATAACTTTTCAGACCTGTGAAGAAATGAAAGATGGAACATTTTTCTTATTTATCTTTGCAATTTACTCTTAAGTAAGTTTTAGAAAACTATAAAATAGTTTGAGAAAATGTTACTGTCGAAAGTATTTTTCAGAAAGTTGTACATTTTTAATATGCTACTTTCTAAATGTTAGTGAGACATCAGTATAAATAAGAACTACAAAGTATATAGTACTGGATGTAGGCTAGATAAAATTCTTCAGTCCCATAATATTTATATAATCATTGTTTTATGTGCTAAACTATTTAACATCTTGCAGGAAACTTCAATCGCTTGTAAACTACATGTTGCGTCATCGAGGTCACGTGACTGGTGTGGCGCCCTCTATTTTCTAGAACTATCCTGTACTTTGGCGAATGCTCTAGTATTTACTAGATATAGGGTAGTCGGGTATATAAAAGAGAGGGACAACGTGACGCGGTAATATATGCGTGTGAGTGGATAGTGAGTAACTGAACTGCAGTCAGAAGTATTATTGACGTTCCTTGATATAGCGTTTGTTTTAGCGCGATTGTTGAAAATAAGTGTATCGTAAAGTTGTATTCCGAAAGAATAAACCAGTTTTATTAAGTAAGGATTTGTGTCGCTAAAGTTTCGTCGGAACGAAGTTAAGGAAAGTTAATTAACAAACAGAGACGTAACATACACTTACCCTTGTTTACGACCACATAGACCAAGTTCATGTACTGATGTTATTTGAGCTCATTCTTGATTCAACTGTCAAAAACAGTTTTATTTATTTTTATTGCAATAAAGCTGTCACTCGAAATCTATATACTGACAAGTCTTTCCTATCAGATCTTCACATGGAAAATATATAGTTTCTTATTATCCACAGTATATTTTATTATGTTCCTTTGCTGCATATTCATGCAATATTTAAATTAATCATTTCATTTTAGCCCTTACCCTAGTGTGCCATTTAACCTTTCAGAAAGTATTTCAAAAATTGAAGTAGTAGGTGAAGAAGAGACTGTTTATTCCTGACTATTTCAGATTTATTTTAAACACCTAACATGAGATGAATTAAGCTTGAGTGATGTAAGAAAATGTAGTTGTATGAAACTGTACTACCACATGAATGTGAAATTTATCCCTTTATTTTTAATACAACCATCAAATATATCTTTTAGTTGCTCTTTTAATATAAACGTTATATATTCTGCTCACATATTTGATTTTAATTTTTATCATAATTGGTCCTAAGGCTTAGCAGTATGCTCGAGAACTTCTAATGCTAGTTTCTGTTGTGAGCACAGCACAGTTAGTTCATTTGAACAGTTTTTTGCTTAACAACAAATGAACAAACCTTTAGAATTATGTATAGGGATCAACACATTATTTATCTAATGTTAGTACAAAAGGAGCTGAGAAATACATGAAAATGGAAATTATACAAACGCGTCTACTTACCACCTTATAATAACACAAACAGATCAAACACTTGAACTAGCTTTTTTTTTATTGAAAAACAAAATGTAAATTCACTTCAAAATAACATGCAGTATTTGTGAAAGTTTTACAGCTACTGTGATTTATATTATTAAAGCAGATATAAATAGATCATGTATCAATAAGTATGAATATTTAAAGTTTGGCACAAATGAATATTGTTACGTCTCCGTTCGTTAGTTGATTTTCCGTAACTTCGTTCCGACGAAACTTTAGCGACACAAGTCCTTACTTAATAAAACTGGTTTATTCTTTCCGAATACAACTTTACGATACACTTAATTTCAACAGTCGCGCTATAACAAACGCTATATCTCACGTGGCCAACAATATTTTGTCCGCATACATTCAATTACTCATTACACAGTTGTCCCGTCACGTTGTGACCATCTTATATATACCACCCTACCCCCAATCTATTAAATGCTAGGGCATTCACGAAGGAACAGGATATTTCTAGAAAACGTGGCATGACACTAGTCACGTGACCTCGCTGACGCAACACTGCCCCCTCCTTAGTATTGTTCGTCCCGAACAATAATCACATACAATAAACCAATAACAATAACTTAATTAAATGTACAAAAGTACAATCACAAAA